TGATGTTACAGATTGTGCTGGAGGACAATTCTGCTGCTGTTGATGGTCCACAGCACCTTATGGGAGGGTTTTGTTTGTTTCATCCAGATCGCCAATACAATCAAAATGCAACATGCATAAATCCTGTCTACATTTTCCCAATATGTGTAATTTTGTTTTCCAAGTTTCCATGTTTTGAGTATTTTGTTTTTTAATTTTTTATGCTGTGAAGAGAATGTTTAAAGGCTGTAATTTGGGCTGTTTGTTTCCAGATTGAAATAGCTTACACCTTAGGTGGGACATTTTGGTGAGGATCCCTTTACCCAGAATGTGATGAAGATGTGGAACACACTGCTACATTGCATGGTTAAAGCAGAACATTATTATGTTCGAAGGAAGCCTGATGCAAACACCATGTAGGAGGGAATACAGGGGCAGGATAAGCAGAAGCTAATGCAGAGCTTAGTGGTTAGACTGAGTGGTCTATTTCTGTGGATTGAAGCTTAGTAATTATATCTCTGAGCATGCTTAGATCTAGGGATTTTGCACAATGCAGTCGTCTGTGCCAACATGGGTTGTCTTGGGGTATCGATTCCTTCTGATATATCTAATGAAGATTAGACGTAGTGCTGGGTGATACAAGTTTAGGCTTTTGTGTGTCAAAAGATCCATCAGGCCTTCAGGCAAGGTGGCAAATCTGAATTCTCTCTCTGAAATAACTTGGCATAATTCTAAACGGCAATAAGCCGTTCACTTCAAATTAGCTTTTATGTGGACAAGCTCTCATCTGCTTTTCATGTGTTTTGGGTATCTGAGGGTGAGGAGCAGCCGCATAAATAACAGCTTGATGGGATTTGACCATCTGAATTTCTCAGGATGTACAGTCAAGTTGTATGGTTACTTACTATTATTGAACAGTGAAACATGAACACTGCATGTATGCCAATCAAGCAGGCTGCCTTGTCCTGGATGGTGTCAGACTCTGTTGTTGGAGCTGCACCCATCCAGACAGGTTGGGAGTATTCCATCATGCTCCTGACTTGTGCATTTGTACACAGTGGACAGGCTTTGGGGAGATGAGTCACTGACTGCAACATTTCAGGTCTCTGACTTGCCCTGTGTGTATGTGGCTGATGCAGCTCAATTTCTGGTTTCTGTTAAGCTTCAGGATGTTGATGGTTGTGAGGACGGCTTTATAGTGGTATTGACATTGAATATCAAAAAACAATGTTTAGATTCTCTCTTGTTGGAAGTGGCCATTGTCCAGCACTTGTCTGGCCTGAATGTTACTGCCTACTAATCAGCTGAAGCCTAGATGTATTTGACACTGACTGTGGAGCTGTGAATGATGTTGAATTTATAAAGTCCCTTTGGGAGAGGAGTATTGTTGCACTAAGCCCTCGAAGTAGTTTCAGACAATTTAATGGATAAATGTATGATGAATGTTAATTGTATTTGATGCAGAGATGATATGCTAGTTAATGTATAGTCTTATTTATAGTACTCCTAAAATATCTGCTTTCATGTTTCCATCTTCAGTTTGTTTCGCTGTAACCACACAAGGCTTTGCTAACATCAACAATCAACATTCAATCAAATGTTGAACAATTGAGTAATGTTGGAATCGTTTTGAGAATGAGATGGTCCTTAATGTACTAAATCATTGTTTGGATAGAATTATTCCAGTTTACCTTATCCTTTTTTTTAAGTTTGACATGCTTTGACAAATCAGTATTACAAAGTAACTGAAGCAATTATCTTTTTAATCTGTAATCAAATTCTTTGCTTGGTAACACACAAAATATTGCAGATGCTGGAAATCTGAAATAAATTAGAACCAGAAATATTCAGCAGGTCTGGCAGCATCTATAGACAGGAATGGAGAAAAATGTTTAAACGAATGACCTACCATCAAACTATGAATTGCTCCATTTATCTTGGAACATAGGAAATAGGGGGTGAAGTTAATGATTTAAGGTCAGGCCTGCTCCATTCAAATAGATCATGACTGATCTCCAACCTCAACACCATTTTCCCATTCTATCCCCTTGATACACTTCTAAGTTTATAAATCTACTGATATCTGTCTTGAATATACTCCAGTGACGGAGTCTGCACAGCCTTGTGGGCTAAAGAATTCCAAAAATTCACCAGCTTCTTAGTGAAGAAATTCCTCCTCCTTTCTTAGTGAAGAAATTCCTCCTCCTTTCAGTCTCAATGGATGCATCCCCGGGTTCGAGATATTCTGACCTTGATGAATGGTAGCACAGGAATATGTTCAAGAATGTGCTGTCATTCTGAGGCACCAGCATTGAAATACATGCCCCTAGTCTTTTAAAAATGGGGCCTCATAACAGTGTTTGTAATAGTGGCATTGAGACAGCCCACTTGTTAGAATTGTATAGTGGGATCTTAAGCCATTTGTCTGTCTGATGTCTATTTTAAAGATAATTTTTAATGTGCTGTTTTGGCTTGTAACAGTTTTTAGATATTAAGTGTAACATTAATAACTAACTGATTATGTCATCTAGATGCTTTGTTGCATTCCTGGGATTGTGTTCACTCTAATTTTTAAAAAGCTTCATGGCTAATGGATTCCAGTTTGTATGTATAGGGCAATAATTTCAGAGGTCATTAATTGAGCCGATGGATGTTGAATTCCTCTCTTTTGTGGAAAAGAAACCCTCTTCTGGCAAATGTTTTCCAACAGACACACATCCAACATTAAGGACTGGGAGCTGCTGGTCAGTCTAATGAGTCTAAACATTGATACATTGAACAAAAGCTGTCCCTGCACTTTTGGGTATTAGATGCCCGCAGCTGGAGTGGCTTGGTGTTACCTGTAGGAATAGAAATGGGGAAACAAATGAGGCAGTCAGAGGGCATCGTGTGCAGGTACACTACAGATTTAATGAATAACCATTCATGTTAATCAGGTGTGGCCCATTCATTGTAAGGTGATGCCAATTGGCTTGGACATCTTTGAAAAAACATGTGTATCTCCAAACAAGCTGAAGTAGAGGACGGGAGGTTGACTCTTGGGAAACGAGTTAATATCTGTAAGCACAATGATGGAGTTATTGGTGCAGGAAGGCAAGAAACTGGCTTTGGTTATCAAGCTACAACATCCACTGCAATCTATGATTGATACCCAATTCATTAGAATTCTGGAGAAGATACCCCAATGGTAATGCTTCTAGGTAAGGACTAATGGTCTTCCCTTCCTTGAATGCCCCTCTCATTCACAGCTAAAATAGCTTTTAAAAACTCTGTCTTTTCTTTGGATGGTGGTGGTGGGGTGGGGGATAGGCTTTCCAAAACTAGACAGTATAGGCTTGAGGTGAGAGGGGAAAGATTTAAGAAGGACCCGTGGGGTAACTTTTCATGCAGAATGTGGTGTGTGTTTGAAATGAGTTGCCAGAGGAAGTGGGGGGGTGGTAGAAAATAGACCTTTAAAATGCATCTGGATAGGTACATAAATAGGAAGGGTTTACAGGGATATGGGAGAAATGATGGCAAATGGGATTAGGTCAGATCAAAATGTCTGGTCAGTGTGGATGAGTTGGACCAAAAAGACTTGTTTCCCTACTCTGACTCTTCCTAATCCAAGTATTTTAAAATGAGTCCATTTAACCAAGCTTTCTTTGAGAAAGGGGGGGGAGTTTCAGTTTCTAAACACATGAACAGATAACAAAACTTGACACACATGCACATAGTAGAAACGTGAGCTGAGTAAAAAGCAGTTGAAAAGGTACACCACTCAGCCTCTGGGTTCTGTGAAGAGTAGATGGTGAAACATTGCTGCTATTAAGTTGGATGATGCCAATAACGCTGATGTAGGTAACAAAGCAGTTGATTTTGTGAATGATGGCTCTGTAATTTAGCTGATAGGCTTTTGTCCTGTTTACTTATTAGCAGTGCTTCCTGCAGTGAGTGAGAGAGAGAGAGAGAGTCTTCATCTGCATGCAGAGCAGGGTATCTAATGGCTCTCCTCAAGCTGTGACCTTCACAGAACACTAGCCCAGTAACGTACAGACCAAAGTTGCAGCTGGTTTTCTGTATCATAGGAGCAGCCTGCTGTGTTCATCCAGCTCTACACCTTGTTATCGCAGATTTTCCAGCATCTGCAGTTCCTACTATTGCTGGTTTTCTGTATGTTTTTGGAAGGGTAAAATACAAACAATTCTGCAGTTTTTGTGATGTGATCCAGAGGACATGGCTTTCTGGTGAGATGGGTAGTCACCCCCTCATTACCTCTGTACCTACAGGAAATTACAGTCTAGCATGCTTTGAATTTCATTTCTTGTTTTTGAAGGATTGCTGTGTGAGGTTTACTTGGCACGTTTTTCCAGTGTAACATTCCATGGCATCCTCAGAGCTTGACCAGACAGTCAGTAAATGTATATGTGCAGTTAGCCTTTGACTGTATAATCTCCTCTTTAACAAACACATGTTGAAATTAAAAGTTCAGAATGTCTGTAAATGATCCTCGTCATGACATCTATAGTCTTCACCTGGGAGCAGAAAACCTTTCTGAATGTATCTTGGCTAAGACTGATTCCCTTTCTAATTCAGTCTCGGGATACAGGCAAGGCCAGCATTTGTTCCCATCCCTAATTGCCCTTGGTGGTAGTAAGCTGCTGTCTTGAATCACTTCAGTCCATGTAGTGTAAGTACACTTCAGAGCTGTTTGAGGAGAGCAATCCAGAGGTTTGACCCAGCGATAGTGAAGAAACAATTATTTCAAGTCAGTATTGTCTGAAACTTGGAAGAAAACTTGCAGGTCATGATGTTATCATGTATCTGCTGCCTTTGTTTTTCTAAGTGGTAAAGCTCAGTGGTGGGTGCTGTTGAAGGAACACCTTGGCTAGATGGAGCATGACTTTATACCTTTGGAGTAAAGAGAGTAGGATGTTCAAATTTCATCTGCATTCTACATTGCTTTAATCTACTTGATTTGTTTGGAGGCCTGCAAGAAAGAGTAATGCTAATCATTTTGTACTCTTGTCTTTGCTTTACAGAGAGAAAGCAAAAGAAACAAAAAGGAAAGAGTGCCAACAAGAGGAAGGGCAAGAGGATCAGGCATAAGGATCGCAAACAGTACATTGTCCTACAAGCTACAGAGAAAACTGACCAGTAAAAGATCAAACTCATTTATTTACACACAGTACGTCAAGCCCCTCCACCCTCCTACACACCACACTTGACAATTCTGCTGCTTCTGACAATATCAGTGGCGAGTAATGAGAGAAAGTGTCCACAAGCTTTGTCTTATTTATACTTTTTTGTTATTGCCTCCTTTTGACCTGAATGGAATGAGCTTGGTGTGTCAATGACTTTTACAAAGGCCATTGGGAATAGGTTGGCCCAGCCATCTGCCATTAAAATGATTACGTAGATAAAACAACAACAATACGCAGAAAAGGCAGAAAAACCCCACCAATCCCTGCTTGTATAGCTGCAGAAACATGTGGAGAATGGGACTTGTTCCGACTATTTATATGAAAGAAGACTTTGTAATACAGGAAGAGGACTGTTCATTTAATGCGTTTTTTGTTTTCTTTTATTGTACATTCCAAAAAGACTGACCCTATGATGTGTGATTACATGCAGAGCTACAATGTATATAATCCTCAGCACAGGTTCTATTGACAGTTGCTGAAATAAAATGCTTCAAAGGCTGTATCTGTATAACTACAAGCAATGAATATCTCATTGTTTGATTGACATGTACACAGTGCTGAGTCTACCAATAATAAACTTATTTACTGAACATGTAAGAATTTAACGTGTCGACAATTTGCTTCATTGTGGTTGATGCTAGTTACCTCCTTCAATCTCTTATCCTCTGTAAATTTGTATTTTGAAGAATTATAGAGGCACATATCAAAAATATAGTTTGAATCTGATCTTAAACCCTAATGAATCTTTAATAACCAAACCTGTTACATATTTTGTATCTCTGAACTAATATCATCGCTGCATAGTTTCAATGTGTGTTCTAATAGATCTTATTTACAATGGTCTAAAATTTCTACTCCATGCTTCAGCTTCACCTTTATGTTCAGATCAAAGCTCGACAAGCAAGCACATGAGGATCAATAGTTGGCCGTCATGCCCTTGGAGCAGTATCAAATGTTCAGTCAATCATGGTTGATCTGGTTGTGGTCTTGTTTCCACCTTCCTCTCTGCCCACCATAACCCTTAACTCTTCTTTATCAAAAATCTTTCAATCTCAGGCTTGAATAAATTCAATGAGCCAGCCTCCATTATCTTCTGCAGAATATTATTGCAAAGACGATTGATCCTCAAAGAAAAATGTTCCCATCATCTCCATCTTAAAATTGTCCCCGCAAGACAAATCTCCACAGTCACCTTCATTCAGAGGTAGTGGGAACTGCTGATGCTGGAGAATCTGAGATAACAAGGTGTAGAGCTGGATGAACACAGCAGGACAAGCAGCATCAGATTTCTGAAGAAGGGTCCAGACCCAAAAAGTCAGCTTTCCTGCTCCTCTGATGCTGCTTGGCCTGCTGTGTTCATCCAGCTCTACACCTTGTTATCTCACTTACATTCAGGATCTTTTACATTTCAATGAGATCACCTCTTAATCCTTTAAGTTTCAATGGGTAAAGACACAACTCATTCAACCTTAAGCCCTTCGTCATAGGAATGAGTCAAGTGAACACTGTATCTTGTCTCCCTTGAAATACTAAAAATCTTTTTTTGTTTTAAATCACATCATTCTAAACAGTAAACATACATCGAGTTCAGCTTGTCTGTTTTCTTCAACTATAATCTTTGAGATATGAAAGTCTTTGGTGGTGAGTCTAAAATCTATGAATATGACATTGTACTTCTGTAATCAGTTCCATGAAGCAGATGACCAGCTTCGCAGTCACTCAGGTAAAGGAAATGTAACCACAAAATTGCTGTCCTTGAAATGTTTGGATCTATTCACTATCAAGTGCCTCACGTACCATTTAATTTGCTTTGGTCCTAATAGAGATGATGTAAGGCAGTGGTTATGATGTAACCAGTTAATGCAAGCCTAATCCCCAACTTCAAATTGTGGTCCTATAGGGCATGTTCACTCGTCAAACTTTGTTTTTGTTATACAATATCATTTTGTGGTTTCTTTTTTGCTTGTTCCTTGACATTGTCATTCAATGGTAGAGATTTGTTCTGCAATGATAGTAATCTTGCACCACTTTTACCTTTTGTACTGCTTCCAAATTAGCCACAACTGACATGAAGAGAACTTTATCCCCAGTGAACAGCAAATTGACTGACTTACCAGTTGCCTCTTTGACATCAATTTTGGCAAGTTTAAATTGAATGTGGAACTAGTAGTATAACTCTGGATTGCTGGTCCTAGGTTATGCTGTGTTGATCCCAGTTGAAAGGTAATCTAACACCATCATTAGCAAACTCAGTTATGACATTCTATACTATTGAGTGAAAAAGTCCTGAATGAATTGTTTGAACCATTTCTCAATGAATAAATTGTATTCCAGTTCACTGTTAATATGTAACTACAGCTATGTGTACATAGTTATCTCCTAGAATGAGGATTGTTACAAAGTATGTATTGTTTTTTTAACTAGCCTTTGCATTGATAAATAAAGTAGGATCTCAATTGTTTGCTTTAAAGGAAGTTGGAACATATTGGTGTCATTTTGCATCATAATCAGGCATCTATTATTACTCTTATCTGATCATAAACTGTAGTCCTAAAGAATTTGAAAAAGGAATGAAAAAATATTTGTTTGACTACTTTTTGCTAAACTCTTTCAAAACTAATCCCCAGAAGTGTATCACTTGCATCTAACTTCACTGTCCCTTTCTGTCTACAACCTTGTGTTACTTCCACTTTCTTACTCCCCTTAAAACCATGCATCAATCCCAAACTAATACCATTTCCTTTCTCTTTTTCCATAAGCTTGTATTGATCCCATACTAATCTCACTGCCTGGTTCTCTTTGTAACTGTATTAATCCTACAGTTTCAATTTCTCCCCAAAACCCTGAATCCATTCCAATCTAAAACTACTGCCTTGCTCTCTCCATAACCCTGAATCTTCCTTTGCTTGACATACTTATTCATTTTACCTTTAAAAGTTGGATTTGTCTCTATCTCTCTCTGTCACTGCTTGCATCTCATGCTGCAGCAAACTTGTGTGAAGGCAAGAACCTTTTTCTCAGATGACTTTAAATCGAGATTCCCCAGAAGAGGAAACACTCTCTCTCCTTATTTGCTCTGTCAAAATTCTTCATGATAAACAAAAAAAGTTAACCCTCATCTTCACCTTATTTACTGTATTGAAACAATCTCGAGTCACTCTTCATTACTATTATTTCCCTCTTTGACATCTTCCTGATGAATCTACACTCTGCATTATCTATGATTTTAATGTCCTTTTATTAAGATAAGGCTCTTAAGACAGCGCAAAGTCCTCCACTTGTGTCCAGATTAAATATTTAAATTTTACCTATTGTATTCTTTATAAAAGCCCAAAATACAATTAACTTCAACATTCAGGCACCTTAACCCCTAGTTCTCTCTTCATCCATACATTCAAAATCTCTTTCCTTAATTGCCTGTTCCCTTCGACCTAAAATGAATTCCCTTACATTTACTGCATCTGCGAACCTGTCTGTCCATAACTTAAAACATTTGTCTTTATACAATGACATCCTGCACAAACTTTTTGTTGAAGTTGTTTGCAAATTGAGTTTACAAGGTGCAGGGCTGGATGAACACAGCAGGCCAAGCAGCATCATAGGAGCAGAGAGGCTGACGTTTCGGGCCTAGACCCTT